GTGGGGGATGGGGAATCAAGGATGGCAAAACAAAAGGCAAGGTATGCAGGACATAAGAATTGGAAAATTATTTGCTGAGAACATGTATGTTGATGTGCTTGATTGAGCCAATGCACAGTGTATTTTGGATGGAAAATTCATTTGTGTGTTGTGATGGTGTATAGTGAATTAATGTAGAGAATGAATACATTTAAAATAAAAAAATTAATTAAAAAAAAATCAGAAACGCAGATGCAAAAAAAAAGAGTATTTATTTATTTATTTGAGAGTGTTTTTGCTATAGGGCATGTGCACTCACTGTAGAGACAGAGAGAGAGTGAGAAATGACATCTCAGGGGGGAAGGCCCTGCCACAGTCTCTTCTCCTTTCTCTTGTCAGGATTTTGGGCATGCACACACAAGTACCCAGCATAAATTTCAAGCTGTCGGGTTCAGGACTCAAACTATGGTTGGTCACATAGGAGTCCAGTTTCTTAACCACTACTGCACCTGTTGGCCCCAGCAAGTGGAGTTTGTTTATTTTTTTAAGAGAGATTTTGGCTATAGGCCAGGTGTGCTCACCAGAGAGACAGAAAGACAGAAAGTGAGAAATCAATCCCTAGGGAGGATGGCCACAATGCAATCCCTTCTCTTCCAGTTTCCTCTTGGGACCCTGGGCATGCACGCACATGCGCCCAGTGTGAGGTCCAAGCCACCGGGTCCAGGACTCGAACCAGGGTCAACTACATAGGAGTCCAGTGACATAACCTTACACCATCTACTGATCCTGCAAGTGGAGTTATTAAGAGAGGGAAGGAAGAACAGAATTCTCGAGCAGGGAGCTGGTCCTGGAAAATGGATTGCAGAAAAGGAGCTGGGGAAGGTTAGAGAGGCTTTGTCTGTGCTTGATTTTAGGTGGGGCTCCTGTGTTGCCCTGTGGTGGGGAGCACATGCTGGATAGGCCTCATTATCAGTCTCCTAATTTTGGAGAGGGTACAAAGGTTAAGAGATTCTTTGTCTAGAAGCTTAGGGGCATAAAAACCATTATCTTATCTTCTTTCTGGAATGTAGTGGAGCCTGAAAAAAAACCTTTGATTTAGGTTGTCTCCATCTTAAAACTTAGTCCATTTAGGGCCTATATTCTTTTTTTTTTTTGGAGAGGTTTTTGTTACAGGACGCGTGCCCTCGCCAGAAAGACAGATAGAGACA